ATGTGAACGTTTGGACGAACTTGCTTCTTCCCTCGACTTTAACGGAAATATATTTTCGAAGAATGTTGCATTCCTCGATTCCATTATCGTGTTCTTATGTATTTCTGGATTATCACACCTATACACTAAGAATCGATACGCGCTACCACTGTAGCCAATAAAGATTCCATCAACGGTCTTTGGACCAATCTTTATTTTCTTTGGTGGTGGTGCTAAAACTTTTGCAAGGCACCCCCACACTTTTAGGTATTTATAGGAAGGTTTCCTATTATACCACAACCCGTAAGGAGTCTTATCGAGTTTCTTTCGGGGTATTTTATTTAACAAATAATTGCTAGATAAAATAGCCTCCCCCACATATTTTGGGGTAGCCCCGAACTGAGTAACATCGCATTCATCATATCTTTGAGAGTGCGATTTTTACGTTCCGCCACCCCATTTGATTGGGGTGTGTATGGCGGATTAACTTGATGCACAATTCCTTGTTGTGCACATAATTCGGCGAATGGAGCTTCGTACTCCCCGCCCCTATCACTCCTAATCGCTTTAATTTTGCGATTGAGTCGATTTTCTACTTCATTCTTATACCGAATGAAAGTGTCCAACGCCTCATCTTTACTTTTAAGTAAATAAATATAGCAATACTTCGTGCTATCATCGACAAAAGTGATAACATATTTGTTACCACCTCTTGAAGGTGTTGCTTTGAAATCACACAGATCCGTGTGAATTAAATCCAGTGGCTGAGTGGTTCGTTCAATTGTTTGAAACGAACTTCGTGTTGACTTTGCTTCGACACACGCCTCACATTTGTGGGACAAGTCGATGTCAAACTTAGGGATATATTCCATGTTAATTAATTTCCGAAGGGATGCATAATTAACATGTCCTAGTCTTCCATGCCACACATCGAAAGACTCACAAACATAGGCAACAGGAGTTTTATTAACTTTCTCAACAACAGTGAGTACATTAAGCGTAAAAAGCCCATCAAAAATATAACCTTTGCCTATGAATATTCCCTTTTTGCTCAAGCTCAGCTTATCAAACTCGAACACCATGCGGAATCCATGTTTGTTCAATAGTGAGCCTGACACCAAGTTCTTTCGTATGTCCGGCACATACAACACATCATTCAGCGTGAGCTCCTTGCCGGATGTCATCTTGAGCTTAACTTTGCCCACGCCTTGAACCTCGGATTGGGCGGAGTTGCCCATCCACACCTTGTCGCCAGAAGTCTCCTTAAAGTCAAAGAGCATGGCCCGATTGGAGCAGATATGANCGAACACCATGCGGAATCCATGTTTGTTCAATAGTGAGCCTGACACCAAGTTCTTTCGTATGTCCGGCACATACAACACATCATTCAGCGTGAGCTCCTTGCCGGATGTCATCTTGAGCTTAACTTTGCCCACGCCTTGAACCTCGGATTGGGCGGAGTTGCCCATCCACACCTTGTCGCCAGAAGTCTCCTTAAAGTCAAAGAGCATGGCCCGATTGGAGCAGATATGACGAGTGGCTCCAGTCTCAACCCACCACTCTTTCGGGTTAGACCCGACCAGGTTGACCTCTGTCACGACAGCACAAAGATCCATAGCATCTAGCTCCGAGCAGAGAGCTTCTTCCTTCTTCTGCTTCTTCTTCTGAGGCTTCTTGCGGCACTCTGAAGAACGGTGGCCCGTAATGCCACAGTTGTAGCATTTTCCCGCGAACATGGGCTTCGCGATGCCTCCTTTAGGACCAATTTTCTTCTTGTCCTTATTTGGCTTGGGCCCTTTGGAAGAACCCTCTTTGGGTGGATGCTCCACCACATTGGCCTTAGAAACAACTACTTTCTTCTCGCGAGTGAGACCCTCTTCACGGATCCGGAGACGAACAAGAAACTGTTCTAAAGTCATTTCTTTCCGTTTGAGCTTGAGATAGCTCCGGAACTCATCCCAAGCCGGTGGGAGCACGTGAATAATCGCCGCCACTTGGAATGCCTCACTGACTCCCTTTCCCTCGTCAGTGCATTCATTAAAAATGAGATTCAATTCTTCAGCTTGACTGACCACGGGTTTGGAATCCACCATCTTAAAATCCAAGACCTTACCGACAACGAATTTCTTCGCACCGGCGTCCTCGGCCTGGTATTTGTTGGACAGTGTAGTCCACAACTCCTTTGCGGATGCAGCCCTGCTATAAACAGCATATAAGGCATCGCTCAAGCAATTCAGGATAAGGTTAAGGCACGTATAGTTATTCGCCCAGGAAATACCTCCAAATAACCTGCTATCCCACCCCTTTTTCTCCTGCCCAAAACAACCCCACCTAAGCCAATCAATTGTGAATTATATTCACATATTCCCTCCCACCACTAATGGACAAAAAATCCTGCCCTACAAGTACAACCTATCCCTGATTTTTCTCCCCACCAAAGGGACAACAACAAGTGGAGGTCATGCTATTGATTTAGGAGAATAAGATAGGAAGTTTCCTTATGTCTACATTCAATGTATTGTGTATTTCTTCCCCCTTCCCCTTCCTATATATAAATCAGGCCCTATGGTCATTGTAGAAAAAAATCCCTGAATATTGAAAATCTTTTACTCTTTGAGTATTATTAAAATAGTGTGATGCTATTTTATCCAAATTCCTAATTCTATATCTTAAGAGTGGTTATCTTAAGTGTGAGTTTTAGGTTCTAGATATTTAATTAAGTGTGTCATATCTTAATTAAATTCTAGATTCAAACCCCAAGTTAGGATAAGAGTGTGTAATATCTCTTAAACACCAACTTGGTTTATCCATCCCTGATTTTCTTCCATTTCATATCCCCCCATTTCTCCTCTTAATCTCACTCTTTTCTTCCAATTAAAATAACCAAAAGAACTCCCTCATCAACTCCATATATTTTCAGTCCATTCCCCCAC